TTTTCCTCGATTAAGTTGGAAAAGTAGGATGATCGAGCAGCAGTGAGGGCTCTTCGGTACTGCACGGTACTGTCTTTCCAAGCTAGTCGGAAGACTTCCAGTTTGGTGTGGCGCCATTTCCGTTCCAATTTCCTGGAAGCTTGCTTCAAAGCTCGGGTATTTTCTGTATACCAGGGAGCTAGTTTCTTATGACAAATGTTTTTCGTTTTTAGGGGTGCAACTGCATCTAGGGTATTGCGCAAGGTTAAATTGAGTTCCTCAGTTAAGTGGTTAACTGATTTTTGTCCTCTGACGTCCTTGGGTAGGCAGAAGGAGTCTGGAAGGGCATCAATGAATTTTTGTGTTGTTTGAGAATTTATAGCACGACTTTTGATGCTCCTTGGTTGGGGTCTGAGCAGATTATTTGTTGCGATTGCAAATGTAATAAAATGGTGGTCCGATAGTCCAGGATTTTGTGGAAAAACATTAAGATCTACAACATTTATTCCATGGGACAAAACTAGGTCCAGAGTATGACTGTGGCAGTGAGTAGGTCCAGAGACATGTTGGACAAAACCCACTGAGTCGATAATGGCTCCGAAAGACTTTTGGAGTGGGTCTGCATTACTAGCTGCATTACTAGCTGTTTGGGGTTTTAGGCTGGGTTTCTGTACAGCACTTCGAGATATTAGCTGATGTAAGAAGGGCTATATAAAATAAAATTGAAAATTGATTGATTGGTCTGTGGACTTCTCCATGTGAATATTAAAATCACCAAAAATTAGAATATGATCTGCTATGACTACAAGGTCTGATAGGAATTCAGGAAACTCAGAGAGGAACGCTGTATATGGCCCAGGAGGCCTGTAAACAGTAGCTATAAAAAGTGATTGAGTAGGCTGCATAGATTTCATGACTAGAAGCTCAAAAGATGAAAACGCCATTTTTTTTTTTGTAAATTGAAATTTGCTATCGTAAATGTTAGCAACACCTCCGCCTTTGCGGGATGCACGGGGAATATGGTCACTAGTGTAACCAGGAGGTGAGGTCTCATTTAACACAGCAAATTCATCAGGCTTAAGCCATGTTTCAGTCAGGCCAATCACATCAAGATTATGATCAGTGATTAGTTCATTGACTATGACTGCCTTTGAAGTGAGGGATCTAACATTAAGTAACCCTATTTTGAGATGTGAGGTATCACGATCTCTTTCAATAATGGCAGGAATGAAGGAGGTCTTTATCCTAATAAGATTGCTAGGGTGAACACCGCCATGTTTAGTTTTGCCCAACCTAGATCGAGGCACAGACACAGTCTCAATGGGTATGGCTGAGCTGACTACACTGACTGTGCTATTGGCAGACTCCACTAAGCTGGCAGGTTGGCTAACAGCCTGCTGCCTGGCCTGCACCCTATTTCACTGTGGGGCTAGAGGAGTTAGAGCCCTATCTATGTTGGTAGATAAGAGGAGAGCACCCCTCCAGCTAGGATGGAGTCCGTCACTCCTCAGCAGGTCAGGCTTGGTCCTGTTTGTGGGTGAGTCCCAGAAAGAGGGCCAATTATCCACAAATGTTATATTTTGGGAGGGGCAGAAAACAGTTTTCAACCAGCGATTAAGTGCTGAGACTGCTGTAGAGCTCGTCACTTCCCCTAACTGGGAGGGGGCCAGAGACAATTACTCGATGCCGACACATCTTTCTAGCTGATTTACACGCTGAAGCTATGTTGCACTTGGTGACCTCTGACTGTTTCATCCTAACATCGTTGGTGCCGACGTGGATAACAATATCTCTATACTCTCTACACTCGCCAGTTTTAGCTTTAGCCAGCACCATCTTTAGATTAGCCTTAACGTCGGTAGCCCTGCCCCCTGGTAAACAGTGTATGATCGCTGGGTGATTCGTTTTAAGTCTAATACTGCGGGTAATGGAGTCGCCAATGACTAGGGTTTTCAATTTGTCAGAGCTAATGGTGGGAGCCTTCGGCGTCTCAGACCCCGTAACGGGAGGAGTAGAGACTAGAGAAGACTCAGACTCAGACTCCGACTCGCTACATAATGGGGAAAACCGGTTGAAGGTTTCTGTCGGCTGAATGAGCGACACCGGTTGAGCATTCCAACAGTATTTCCCTCCAGAAGCCATGAGAAAGTTGTCCGGCTGCGGGGACTGTGCGGGGGGATTTATACTAACGTTACTGTCTGTACTTACTGGTGGCACAGACGCTGTTTCTTCCTTTCCTACACTGAGATTACCCTTGCCTAACGATTGCGTCTGAAGCTGGGCTTGTAGCACAGCTATTCTCGCCGTAAGGCGATCGTTCTCCTGTATATTATGAGTACAGCGACTGCAATTAGAAGACATCATGTTAATGTTACTACTTAGCTTCGGCTGTTGAAGATGTTGATGAACCATGTCCAGATAAAGCGTCCGGAGTGAAAAAGTTGAATAAGGGAAAAAAGTTGCGATGGAAAAAAGGAAAATAACGTAAAGTTGGCAGCTAAAACGCACAGGAAAATGACTCTTCTGTCTCGGGATAAACGTCCGGGGTGAAAAAGTTTAACGAAAAAAGATGAGTGAGGACAAAACTAAAAAGTTGGTAAATTTGTTGAACACAGAGATTGATTAAACGTTTATTAAAAGTAAAACGTGAATAGTTTGGCAGGTAGCCAAGTAGCAACAAACAGCACAGCAGCACGGAGACAATGCGGAAGCGAGACGGAATGGCAGAGCACAGCAGCACGGAGACAATGCGGAAGCGAGACGGAATGGCAGAGCGAAGCACTTCTTCCACAAGCGATAGGAAGGATCAGGCACCATTACGCACGTCACTCTCCCCATCACCATCACCATTCCCACACTACCGGAGCACCACGAGGAGCTGTCATTCCACATCGTCACATCACCCCTTCACCGGATCGTCTTGGGATTGCCCTGGCTCAGACTACACAACCCCACCATCAATTGGAACACCTCATGCCGAAAGACCTGCCTGCCGGTGGTTTGTTGTTCCACGTCAGTGGAGAGTCCGGCCTCCATCCCAACATTCCACGTGAGTACGCAGATCTCTCTGATGTCTTCTCTTCATTAAAGGCTACGTGTCTCCCTCCTCACAGGCCCTGGGACTGCGCCATTGACCTGCTGGAGGGACAACACCCCCCGAAGAGTCGCATTTACCCCCTTTCCATGGCGGAGACTGAGGCCATAGAGAAGTATGTGGTGGAGACCCTGAAACAGGGGTTCATCAGACGCTCTACCTCTCCTGCCTCCACCAGCTTCTTCTTTGTGGCCAAAAAAGACGGAGGACTGAGACCATGCATTGACTACAGGGGGCTGAACGCAGTCACCACCAAGTACCGGTACCCCCTCCCTCTGGTTCCGTCGGCCATCGAGCAGCTACGAGGGGCCCGATACGTTACCAAGTTGGACCTGAGGAGTGCCTACAACCTGATCCGAATCCAGGAAGGAGATGAGTGGAAGACGGCATTCAGCACTACCTCAGGCCACTATGAATACCTCGTCATGCCCTACGGCCTCGCCAACACACCTTCTGTGTTCCAGTCCTTCGTCAATGACGTGTTCCTGGACATGCTGAGTAGACAGGTGGTGGTGTACATCGACGATATCCTGATCTACTCGGCTACGTTCAAGGAGCACGTCAGGGACGTCCGACCTGTCCTACTCCGCCTCCGGGAACACAGCCTGTTGGTGAAGGGGGAGAAATGTGAATTCCTCCAACAGGCCATCTCCTTCCTGGTATACCGGATCAGTCCTCAGGGGGTGTTCATGGAAGGAGTGAAGACGGACGCCGTCAGGTCATGGCCAGTTCCCACCACCATCAAGGGCCTACAGAGCTTCCGGGGCTTCGCTAATTTCTACCGGTGTTTCATCAGGTCCTTCAGCTCCATAGCCGCCCGCTCACCTCTCTCCTTAAGGGTGGGCCTCAGAAGCTGGCCTGGAACCCTCAGGCTGACGCTGCCTTCAAGAGACTGAAGGAGAGGTTCACCACAGCGCCCATCCTAAAACACATGGAGGAATGGAGACACTGGCTGGAGGGCGGAGGGCTCCTTCCCCCTCACTACCGTGTCTCACCCACTTTTCATGTGTCTCTCCTCAGGCCGGTGGTTCCTGGTCCTCTGGCGGATGCCGTCCCCCGGGGTACGCCTCCTCTGCCCCTGGACATTGACGGGAGTCCGGCGTATGCGGTGAGGGACCTGCTGGACTCCAGGTTCCATGGGGACGGCTCCATTACCTGGTGGACTGGGAGGGGTATGATCCTGAGGAGAGGAGCTGGGTTCCGGCTGGGGACGTTCTGGACCCCAACCTAATTTGAGACTTTCGACCGGCCCGCTCCTCGTCCTCGGGGTCGTCCTCCTGGCCAACGACGTCCAGCGGCTGGAGCCGCGTGTCCAGGGGGGGGTGGGGTGGGGGGGGGGGGGGTACTGTCACGTCTCCTCCCGTTGCTCCCCTCCGGCGCTCTGATTTGCCGGTATACTGAGCCACCGGTCTGAGTGCAACACCGGAATGGAAACCCAACGCACCCTAATCACCTCCAGCGCACCTGCACCTCATCTCATCACCACCCCTATTTAGCCCTGGACTGTTCTGTATGATGCTGTGTGTGATTGTTTAGTCTCTTGTCGTTTACACTATGTTTGTTATTTCTTTCTCATTGTTAAGTAAACCTTGACCTTGTTAATTCCTGCGTCTGCGTCCTGCCTCTTCGTATACTCAGTACTCGTCACAGAGTGACTAACAAAATCAATGGGGCCCGGTCAGTATTCGGCCATAATGACTACAGGTTTAGATAGTCTAGCCAGCTAACTTACCAATCTAAAAATTGTTAGCTGACATGGCTAATTGAGTGACTGTCAGTGACTGACATAACAAGAGAAACTACTGATGTACAACCACAGTAAGTTGAGACCCTGACTAAGCTCCAAAAAACACAAAGGGAGATGAGGATGGAAGGCTTCCAGGGTTATGACCTAAGCCGGAGTGGGGTAGATGCCTGTACTTACTGTTGTAGTGCAGCCTGCGAAGCAGGAGGACAGGTAGGTGACTCCGTTAGAGCCGCACACTGGGCTGACTGAGGAGGTGTAGCAGTTACAGTTACTCATGCAGGGGACCTCTGGTTTCTCGCCCACCCGCAGTGTCCTGGAGAGGGGGAGAGAGAGAGCTGTTTAGACTATTCTGTGTACATATCAGGAAGGAATAAACAGCACACGTTTCTGTAGCTACTATATATCTAAATGAGCAGGTTTTAATTGGTGAAAAGCACATTTATGTGGAACTAGACAGAATAAGCTATTATGCTAAATGTGGCTGACTTTGTTCCCACTTTCATCAAACACCCTTCCCCCAACAGAAGCACTGCTATTACATATGCTAAACCAGTGGTGTAGGTACAGGCTGTTCTTACTCGTTGCCATAGGCGACGGTCACCCCAGCGACAGGCCCTGTGTCACAGCCAAGGAAGAGGAAGGAGACGTAGCAGGCAGTGGAGATCAGGTTGACCAGCATGGCCATGCGAATGGCCCCCAGCGCTGAGAGGTTCAGCTTCTTGACCAGAAGCCCCCCCAGGAATATCCCCAGACAAGCACAGGGGATGGCCGTCATACCTGGAGAGAGTTAATACCGCCAGGTTAACCTAATCTCCTTCTCATGTACTGTACTGATGCCTCTCACTGTACTGCTCAATGTGTACTGTGTGGCACCAGGGGGCTGTGTGTATGTGTTGCGTATGTTTGTGTGTGTGTGTCGTGCATGTGCTTGCAACTGGCCCTCACCTAGTAGTTGATTGGCTGAGGAGGTGGTAAGGTTAAACTGCTGCTCCAAGTACTTCCCCAGGAAGGCAGCGAAGCCAGCCACCACACCGATCTCCATACAGGCTGCCAGCGTGATGCAAGTGAACACCGGGTTTGACAGAAGGTGCTTGGTAACCTTAGGGATCACTGAGAAGAAAAGATGAAGAGATCCTTAATATCAAAGTGCCACATGGACACAGACAACTGCTATCAAGTCTAACTATCTCTTGCTATTTCTGATATGCTTTAGAAAACAATATTCTGCCAGAGGATTTAATTCCCTTGCTTTTCTCATAACAGACAGCATAGATCATACACTACCCCAGATGGCTTATCAGAGAATAATCTATACCAGGGCTCTCCAACCCTGTTCCTGGAGAGTTACCCTCCTGTAGGTTTTCGCTCCATCCCCAGTTGTAACTAACCTGATTCAGTTCATCAACCAGCTAATTATTAGAATCAGGTTGGCTAGATTACGGTTGGAGTGAAAACCTACAGGACAGTAGCTCTCCAGGAACAGGGTTAGAGAGCCCTGGTCTATACTTTACAAAACAGCATCTGGAACTATGTTTTTTTAAATCTTCATTGCGGTTTTGAGAAAAACCATACATGCGGTAAAGAGGTCAATGGAACGCAGAATTGGCAGGCATTCAAAAAATGCATATTAGTCAAATCCATCATAATTGATGTGTTCTAACAGGCCCACAATGTGGTTACTAAAATCTGATTTTAATACATATGGCTTTTTTTGCTGCATAATATTTACAAGTTGTCCTTTTCAGGATTATAAAAAGGTCTGCTAAATGCTAACTCCCCTTCCTTTAAACTGGTAGCATGGCTAGCCATATAGAATCGGTGGTGGTAGTTGAAGCTGTTTTTACGTGTCATGCAGTTGATTGGTGACATCCATACAAACAGATTTTTACCCCAACATTGAGTGAAATACACACATAAACAATAGCCTAAATGTAGGGTAATTTTGATGGGCAGCAATGAGGAGATGCTGAACCTTTCCCCCACGGGGAGATGCGTAAGTGGCGTTTCTATTGTTTTGGTCGAATTCCATTGATCTCTTTACCGCACATATTTTCATAAAATACTTTCTTTCCCCCTACTGCAGTGCCCCTGATATCACTGTTCTCCCAGGTAAACATTGGATTTGTTCTATCACCAAAGTAAGGTTAAACATTCCCAGGCTCCCATTTGGTATCTCCTCTCTTGCACTGGTGTTAAATTCATACATAGTTTGTGGGGACTACAATATGTTTATTTGGCCTCATACTGAATGCTCCACCACTGACATGAGTACTGTATAGAACTATGTGTGGGCACGTAATAGCCAAACAAATCATGGTGGGATACAGATGGAGAACAAGTGATGTGCTACGGTATATACAATAGCATAACAAGTCTTAATTGAACTGCACAAATACTAAATGTACTATAAAGGGACAGAAAAAAGTATCCCCTCTAACCTCTGAGCTGCTGAAAGCAGGTGGGGCCATTGATAGGCTCATGGTTGTTGCGTCCCACCCCGTTGCTGGACTTGGGCATCTCAGTATAGTCCAGGGGCAGAGAGGTGGAGGGGAGCATGGCCTGCTCACTCTCCCCTCCACCGTCCCTGTCCTTCTCTCGGTCTGACAGGGTTTGGGGGAAGCCAAACATGAAGAGGGATGAGAAAAAGAGTAAGGCACCACACAGGAGGAAGCCCCCCCACCAGGCTCCGATCCACCGAGGGTCATCAGAGGTAATGTCCAGCTTACCTGTGGAGAGTGACAGAACAAACACATACAAGCATTATTAACATCAAAACACACATCACATCAATGTCAGTGATTTCCCCATAATCAATGTACAGATTAAAGTAATTTGGGGTAACCTTGAATAACACACTACTTAGCTCTAATTATGTGTCGCTAGTTCAATTAACTTCTTAATGAATGCAGTTTTTGTATAGTCTGTGTGGTGTTTGTGTTTTTTCCACAGTATTGGGGTGATGTGAGGTAGGTTGTATTTCCCAGTGACTTACTAGTGTCGATGAAGACAAAGTCCACATAGAACTTGGTGCAGAGGGACCCCAGGAGGAAACCACAGGCAGGTCCAAACACCAGAGTAGAAAAGACGATCCCTGGAATGACATGGAGAAATCAGTTCCGTAGACAACACAAGTGTGAACAAGTTATCACCAGTTCCTGGGTGAAATGTAACAATTCTTAATTTAACCACAAGGTGGCACACCTTGTTCACTAATCCACAGCCTTTTCCAGAGGGCAGCATGAGGCAAGCTCAGAGTGGATTCAAGGGACTATCTCATTGTACGGCTAAATGTTGGATTTAAGCATGCTATGTAAATAATTATGGACAACAAATGTATCAGAGTCAAGGAAGCTGAATTGAACTGCACTTGAATATGTGTATCACCTATGATCCTAACTAGCCAGATCTTGACAATCATCAACCCACTGATAATGCCATACAAATATATACTTGCGCTAGCTACATACATCATGAAAAAGATTCAGTTGACATACCAAAAGAAACATACTAAAGAACGCCCAAGTCTAACAGTGTGGACAGCTGGAGCAGCACTGTGTGACCACAAATCCTCATTAAAGTGCTGCCTGTCAGAGGGTGAGAGCCTGGCACAGGGAGTCAGACAGACAGGTGAAGACAAAGGGCCAGAGCTCATGAGGACCTGAGAGGCTCTATTTGGCCTCCAAATATCCTCTTTCACCTTTCAACACGTCTCATTTAGTGTAAATTGATTCATTCAAAGTGGAAAATAAAAACACATTTAAATGTGTTAGTGAGCCAGTGCTATACAAGGCATTGGATATTATGGATAACTTGGGTTAGAGCAGAAAGCTGCTCCTGGACCAACTGACACTTGCCAGACCCTCCTGCTGATCCCCCTCAGTCCTGCTCTGGCTTAGGCTCAGGCACAGGCCAGTCAGGTCTTATGCTGGGGAGGCTCAAAGCCCATGGTCATGTCATTACTGAAATAAAATCATGCTTTGCATAATACTGAGCTTTGGCAGGCGCTGTTTGAAATGCCTGACAGCCAGACAGACAATGGGAGGTGGGTAAACAGGCAGCACTTCAACTAACACAAGTCGATTCACAGCCAAAAAACAATAGATACTGTAAATGTCAGAAGATAGAAGTGTGGTTCTCTCAGTTTCATCAGGTCTGTACAAGATATAGTATGTTTGCAGATTGTGTTTCACCTTTCTCACTAATGCATGGTAGTCACATTATAAACTTGTATTTTTACAAATAATAAAATAAAATGTTTACTAATACTAGGTTACAGATGGTAAAAAGTATTTTCAGCCAAAAATGTTTAATATGCATTATGGGTTTAAGTCCTAAAATAGAGATGTTTTAATCCAGCAATGGGTTCACTGGAATTAAATTAGAAAATGGGCAAACAAAGAACAAATGTTCTTGATTATCACGAAACAATGCTCTCTAGCAAGTTCTGAAAACACTTAAGCGGAGGGTGTGGCATTAGGCCCTAGCTGGTTGACTAATTAGGATGATTCAGAGATGCTCAAAAGCAGTAGCACTCCTTGCTATCCCAGCTCCCTTTGCAGTTGTGCTCCATTAAAGTGAGGTGGTGGATAGGAACCACACACCTCGAGCAGCCAATGAATGGGTCAGTTTCATCATTCACTTAATTACACTGGCTCAGATCAAAGCTGTATATAATGTACATCACTGTGAACGCTGACAATGAGACCCTGCTTCCTGACCACACCACCATACTGCCCACCTATGTAGGAAATGAATATGCACATTCAAACACATTATATATCATTCTCAGTGGTCATTATATTCCACAGGCTATATGTTTAACTTTACTGCTTGTAAGGTTATCCTCTCAATAAATTACTATGTTTCTCCTAGGCAAGGGACAGCAATAAAGTACTGCACATTGTTCCTGTCCTAACACAGGACAAATCAGGTCACTTTCTCTGGATAAAGAGAGGGAAGTCTGGAGTGTTCGCTTTATGGTTGTCAAGCTGGGACAAAAATATATTGCTTCTTCCTGAGACCTAGGGCAAACCCCGGTTGTCCGGGAGGTTGGCGGTAAGGCCAACGTGGTCTGTTGGTTGAAGGCAAATATAGATACAGCCCACTGGGCAAAAACTGGTTCTGGGAAAAACTGGTTGAATCAACGTTGTTTCCATGTCATTTCAACCAACAAAATCTGTGATGACGTTGAGTCAATGTGGAAAACTGATTGGATTTGCAAAAAGTCATCAACATAAGGGCAATTCGTCTTTTTTTCACCCAACTTTTAACCTAAATCCAATGACATGGCGAAATGCTTTGTTGATTTCACGTTGAATTCACCTTAGTTGACAACTCAACCAAATGTAAATGAAAACTAGACGTTGAACTGACGTCTGTGCCTAGTGGGAGCTACTGTATGTGTACGTATCCCTAAAGCACTATTGTACAGCAGTATATTTTTCCTGTTCCAGAGTGACTATATCACTAAGTCAATCGTACAACATGTATCACATATAGGCCTCCTAGATGACTCTATGATCAATCACTTTGGTTGTAGTCTAGATGCTGACTCCCGTACAGTATGTTGTCTATTTCTCCAACCAGCTGTAAAACAACTCTTACTGGGATTGGATAGTCTAAAAGTCAATTCCAGTAAAACAATAATTTATGCACCAAATCATCACTGTTAGGTTCACCATGGTGTTCTACATTAAGTCTTAAAAATTACTACATGCATCTTGTGTATACATGCTAACTGGCCTGTTGTGCATCAAATTAATGCTGTGCAGGTGCTGTTTCAAGCGTTTCCTTAGAAACAGTGAGTGTTGTCTCCTTATAGCAACAACACCCCCATTGCTCTCACCACAGAAAACCTCAGAGGAAACTCAGTTAGTGAAATCACCTTCCAGGGGATGACGTTTAGAGTGAGTCCACAACCACCCACAGGCTAAAAGTTTCCACCAAACTCTCTCTCTGCCTCGGAGTGTTTACAGAAACACAGTACAGTCTCCTAATCACACTCAACTAACCTACAAATGTTGCACAGTACATGTCATGAACCTAACATATTTCAACCTTTCAAGGACCACACGTTCTGTGCATCTGACAGTTTCAATACCCTGTATTGAGAACATGTAATTGTCAACCTGCTGGTTTAAGCATTCCAGATGAGGGAAATAGCAGTGAACACAATATCTTCTTAGTGATAGGAAACTGGGACAGAAGCTACCCAGCTCTAGTCTGGCTAACACCTAACACAAAGTCCTGTGAGTCACAACAAAACACAGAGCTGCAGGACTTCTACAGTGCTCCAAGTCATTTCCCCCTCCTTTTGTCTCTGGGGTTTCAGCACTGTTCTCTCCCCACCAAGGGAGTCTTATATGGAAGACATTAGATGGCCAGATACTCAGGTCTAAGAGAGGTCAAAAATTTATAACTGTCATCCCCTAGAAGGTGATTTCACTAACTGAGTTTCCTCTTTGAGGTTTCCTGTAGTGAGAGCAATGATGGTGTTGTTGCTATGAGGAGACAACACTCGCTGTTTCTAAGGAAACGCTTGAAACAGCGCCTGCACAGCATTAATTTGATGCACAACAGGCCAGTTAGCATGTATACACAAGATGCTACAGTTTCTCCTAAAAAAGGCTGTCAGACTGCATAAACAACTTTATTGGTATATCTGCTCACTGTGCTAACTATCCTGTTTTTATTTTTTTTAATGTACAACTCAGGTACTCTTTTGGACAAAGTTTTGTTCCATGTAGTATTTTTTAAGACTGCTACTTACTGTAGAACACCATGGTGAACCTTACATTGATGATTTGGGGCATAAGTTACTGTTTCACTGGAATTTACTTGTCGGCTATCCAATCCCAGTCAGAGATGGCTTCAGATCAGCAGTTGTTGTTACAGCTGGTTGGAGAAATAGACAACATACTGTACTGGAGTCAGCTTCTAGACTACAGCCAAAGTGATTGATCATAGAGTAATCTAGGAGGCCTATATGTGATATATGTTGTACGATTGACTTAGTGATATAGTCTCTCTCTCTCTCTCTCTCTCTCTCTCTCTCACACTCTATTTGTCATCTCATGACAGTACGTGAAAAGCAAGTGATCCTTTCCCCTGTTGCTGACATCAAGTGGATAGGCCTCATTTCTACCTATTACATTTCTCTATCTCTCGCTTTCTTTCTCTCTCTCTCGCTTTTGCTCAGTCAGTTATAAGGTCTGCCGGTTGAACTCTGTGGGATGATGAATGTGGTGTGGCTGTATGGAGAGGTGTGATTTTGCATGGTTTATTTAGGAGATTCCCCACTAGGCCACTGACAAGCTTGTAAAGGTGTCAGCATGCTTCAGTTCGGCTGGCGCCTAACCGAACTCAGCTAGCCGAACCAAACGAGTGTGCTCACATACTCCCTTAAAAGACCTTCGCTTGAAAAATTTGTCAATTTTGAGACGCCGAAGACACTTCCTCAAAATAGTCAGAATTAATCTAAAATAAGTCAAGAAATCTGTCATTAATTTTGACGTTTTTGCAGAGAAGATTTTAGTTGCGCAATTTCACATCTAACAAAGATGTTTGGTGCAGTATTTCTCAATGAAAAAATGTGCATGAAAATGAGTCTTCTCTTGTTGAACGACAACAAAGACTTTATTGAAGAATCCCTACTGTTGACCAATCACAAACTAAGGGGCGTAGACTTCGGTCCGAACTTCGGCTTGCCTCCAGAATTTTTTTGGTGTGCCCGAACAGCCGAAAAACCCCTCACTGAAGTCCAAAAAGAACAAATACATCACAAAATGTTGTCTTAATATATGCACGAACTCTTCCGAACTGTTTCGGCTGGGAAGCATGCAGACGCCTTTACATTTAGCATGGCCTCTGGTTATTCCCCACCCATCTTGTGGGTGAAGCAGCTCAAATGTTTCCAAACCTCAAGTCTTTCCACTAATTCTGAGCATTGCTAGATGAATGTGATAGCAAGCATTTTACTCTGCATGGGGAGGTTACAGTACAAGCAATTGAGAATGAAAATCAGACACGCCTTAAACTAAAAAAATACTTCCATTGATTTCAAGTTTTATGAAAGCTGTTAAGACAAAAC